ATTTATCGTTGTTGGTTGATGTCCAAATAATAAAGAAATTCATGCATGTAACCGTTGGGATTCAAGTGTGAATAGTATATGGAAAGATTTCCACAGTGGAAAGGAATGGAAGGTAAACTGAATACAAGAATAGCTCATAACTGAATAGTTTGGGCTTTTAATTTTTAGCGGTATCTATCTCTAATCGTATGTGTATGTGTGCGAGACTGCGAGTCCCCCCTGATTTTCTGACTCCCTTAATACACAATAGTGATATAAGAGCCTAGATTTGACTGCACGCAAGTACTGAGATTTTTCACTAGTAATTAAAAGGGGCTTGCTAGGTTTACTTTCCTATACCATTGGAAAAGATCATCATTCCCTGTTCACAAGGGGCTTGCTAGGTTTCCTGATTCCTCTGGATCTTGAATGCAGCTTGGCCTTGGCCGAAGGTTAAAGCGCAATACAGAAAACTAACAAATCCAGTGCGCCGTGTCTTCAAGGCGTTGCACGGGAATCAATCCAAAAATAAAATAAAATAAAAAGATTTCCCCAATACTGTTAGATAAATATAATATATATACTGGCCTTGTCAAGGCGATTCACTGTTACTGTTAGGCACACAAGTAATTAAATTGACTTTGACGGTGCTTGGTTTTATTTAAGTTTATTCAATAAACATTTATTGATGGTGCCATATAGGCGTCATCTCGTTATTTTCTCTCTCTTGTTATTCTGCATATATTGAAAATGTAAAAAGTGAATTGTGTTTATGTGTATATTAGTCGTTTGTAGAAGTTATTTTTTAAAGCTTTCACAATCAGCCAGATGTTTATTCATTATTACGCTGAAGTGGCGCCTAATGACGCTTGATTGTCATAAACGACTGCAATTATTACATTTCTCGGTTTTATCAATAAATAAAGTACAAACATTTATTCGATAAACATAAGCGGAACTAAATACATACTTTAAATTTTAAAAGGAAGAAAAGACTATACACTAGGGGGGCAGATCTAACTGGTTTTGACAAGTCTAGCCCATCTCAGATGACTTTTGCTAGGTCAAATCTAGGGCTGTTCACGGGTTGGGTTGGGTCGGTTTATTGGCGTTTTTCCAACCGACCCGACCTGGTCGGTTTACCTAGAAATGAAACCGAAACCAACCCARTACTAAGTAAAACCGACTTGGTCGRTTTGGATCGGTTTTGTGAATGATTCTCTCGATGTGAACGGTAAAGGATTCAAGTATATATCTGAAAAATATATATAGTAAAACTGATATTTTATATATCAGAAATTTTATATATAATATGTATATTTCTGAATATATATATATATAGTAAAACTGAAATATAACAGATATATATATATATATATAATATCTGAAATATTATATATATAATATATATCTAAATCGGTTCAGGTTGGTTCAATTTCGATTTTCACACATGAAAAACAAAACCGAATCGAACTATCGATTTATGTTTTTTCGTAACCCGAAACCGACCAATGATGAAGAAAAATCAACCAACTCAAATTGAATCGGACCGGGTTGATCAGTTTAATCGATTTRGGTCTTGTTATGAACAGCCCTAGTCAAATTAATCCGTGCCAGAAAAACCCAAGCCTAGTCGGCCTTAGGCTTCCCATTTGCTACCTCACAAAATGGTGTATACATTGCCTCGTTGAAAGTTAGAACGTTGGTTGTCTATTCTGCTCCCCAAATAGACTTGAAAATTAAAATTAAACATTTTTTTGTCAAAGATTCTTATAGCTTTGTTGTCCTACCCATGAAAATGACGAATAAAAGTGGTTACACACATGGGAGCCAATGCCCCTCCCCCCAGAAAAAATAATAAAAGTAAAAACATTCCAGAGAAAATGTAACTGGGTGGGGGTTGAATCACCTTGCCACTTGATGTCAATCTTGACCCCATTTGCTCTGTATTGAAATCCCAATTTTAACTTTAATATAATCTATTATTTTTTATCCATCAATCCAATTTATTTTTATTGGATTTTTATGCTAGGCTTAAACTGAGATGACTTTTTTAGGGTATGTTTGGGTTGCAGCCGGAAATGGAATTGGAATGATCTGTTCTCATACTGTGTTTCATTCCCAATACAAGGACAGGGAATGGTTATTTTCTTAAATATGGGAGAATGCTATTAATAGAATTTCGATTCTGTCCAATCAAACAGTTAAATTTTTTATTCTGATTTCATACCCTTATTCTTGCGAACTAAATGGGGACATACTTTATTTTATACAATTGGATTGGAGGATGCTTCAACTTTGGCTCARTTCTAAGTTAAACAAGGTTCATATTTTTTAACCTTAACCTCAAGAGACACCTAATCTTCATTCTTCATTCTCCCTCATCTCTTGTCCCCTCAAGAGATTTGCTTATACCAAGAAACGTTTTCTTTTTTTTTTTGGCCCTAGYCGAGGTGGTACTGAACGCAGGTGAATACGATCAACTTGGCAAAGGCATATCATTGCTTACGTAGCATCAAGGTGTGATGCGATGGTTCAGAAGAATCACTAGAGGGCTAAATACCCCTCATCATTATTGCATACTACCAGAAAATGTAATTAAGATATCAATGCATTTTATGCATATTAAATTAAACATCTCTCTACCTTTGGATGAATGAGGAGCAAAGGTTCGCTAATTTCATGCATTCCTCAGAATAAGTTCGATCTCCTTTGACACCCCTAGTGTTTCCACAGCCGTTCACCATGAAAAACAACCCGCTGGTTACAGTCTATGACTACAAAACCTCCTTTCGTTTACAAGCCTTATTCTGACCGTGAGAACCACCTTAGGAGAGCGCCAGAGGTTTTGCAAGCCTTACAAGCCTTATTCTGACCGTGAGAACCTCCTTTCGTTTACAAGCCATTTTTCCCTCGAATGCACTTCAAATCTCTCTTCGACTACATAACCAATTAAGGGTTCAATTAAATGATGTTCATTTAACATTTATAGTTGAGACTATCGTTATCATATATAGATGTACGTGAAGGCTAGCTTAGCTTTATCATCACGATCCCAAAGGTTTGGCAGGATTTGCATTACGAGGCAAACGAGAACCTTGAATGTGGAATTCTCATGCTTAATTTTTAAAAGGAATGGCTTGTAACTAACAAGCTCATGCTCATGTGGTTGTAACTTGTAAGTACCTAGCTTTTTTAATAAATAAAAAATAATAACAATAATAATAATAATAATATATGCGGCTCACAGTTTCACACCTTACCAACACTCAAACAATGGGAATCTAATCTTTTCCAAGTTCAAGACTAAAGATAACTCATCCTTTTAAGGCCATTACCCAATGCTGGCTGGTCCTGGTTAATTAACGGGTCTTTAAACTATTAACTTTGAAGATATAGACTGAATATGACCTAATTTTGGGCTTTTACCACTCTCAGATCCGAACCCGTGTTGTCAGGCTTGTCAGTCGGAGATTTTGCCGTTTGCACCAAGCAATGGTGTCTTTCTAGAAGCTAGGGATTTCAAATAAGAAATTATTAGGTTTAGGGTGCCTTGGTGCAAGTTATTTAAATTAATTTTTGGGGCACTCAATACAATTAATATTGCCCATGTATATTTTGGATTAACATGCATGTGATGATTACCACCATGTTCCATGAACATGTACACAAACATTATATTCTAGATAATTTGTATTAATTGTTTCTACCCGGAAGAAGAGAAAAAACATTTATCGTAATTGTATTTCATACAACCCCGAATCCCTTATATAAAGTGAATCTTGAAATCTTTCATGGGTATTGAGTACGGTGGTGTTGTATTTTGGGTTGATTAATACAAATTTTGTTAGAGCGTAGAGGAAGAGGAAAAAAAACATAGGCCAAAACTGGGCATAAGCCGGAGTGGAAGAAATCAAGAAAGTATTACAGACTACAAAAGGCCGCTGACACGGTTCCTCTTTGTAGAAAATCAGTTCAGTGTTCATTGCACTGGTAAGTGCTAACCTCTACATCCTGTCCTGTGAAGGAAAAGGATGTGTCTTGACTCGGATTTGATTGCAAAAATATAAGCTTAACCCCGTTTATAAGGGTCGGGACCTGCTACAATAGAATGCTCTCAACGCTGTTCCAATGAACAACTACAGCCGCACACCGAGAGCATCCCCTTTTCATCATTCATTGGAGATGCTCCCGATGTACGGTTGCAATGACTGTAGGGACGTTGTTGTCAACATGTGATAGTAGCTGATCCGAACTCCGTTTACAGTTTTTTATAGTAAATATAAATGTTGTGCTTTCTCGATTTATGGGCCGGAATTGATAGTATATGCAGTTTCATAACTTGGGCCCAACGACGGGTTGGCGTGGCAAAAGCTGTTAAGGTGACAGGGTACAACCCATGTCATGCCATCAGATGAGATCATCGCTATCAAAGGACAATTTTACCTGATTGGTTTGTTCTGGAGTCGAAATGAGGCGCACGTGTCAATCTGAAATCCTGCAATCTGCATCATGCATCAAAAGCGACTCCGTATCTCCTGCCCACTATAATTCTGCCCACATCTACCCACAACATGCTATTCCGTGCATCCCGTATATAAAATTATGTAGAGAATAAGATATTCTCTATGTGTGCATGCGATGTTATGTGGGTAGATGTGGGCAGGAGATCCGGACTCATCAAATGCCTGGGATCATAAACAACTTTTGCTCGAGCTGGACAATTGGACATTGATAATGAATCATAGCTCGCTCTTCCATACACTTACCGTGGGACCACGACAGGGCATCAGGCGCTTTCTTTTTGTCTTTATCCGAGATATAAATAACAATATGATTATTGATCCTTTTTTACATTTTTACCCCTATTCTGTCCATCGGTCCGTCCCCCAATTGTTTTTTAATCCAATTTATGTTCTTAATTACCATATCGTCCCGCGCTTTTGTCTCTCTTTGCGACGTCTCACACGCAATGGGTCACGTGCGGTCTGATCCCTCGTCACTCTACAGTATGATTCTGATGATGGAGTAGTACGGCCGTCGCGCTTCCTGCCGCTGCTCTCCCTAATGCAACCACGACAGGAACGCAGAGAGAGAGAGAAAGCGCATAGAAATGTAACGTCAAGTGGAACAAAATCTTAGTCTGATCAAAATGTTTTAGTAGGGACGCTTTTGCAGACTTCTGTTGTTGCTGCTTCTTGCTTGCAGAATCCAAGTAAGAAGAAGAACAAGAACCAGAACCAGGAAAAGCTTCTTCCTTAGGTCTCCTACTGAGTTGACTACTACTACTATCACCGCTCAAAGCCTTCACTTCTTTCAATCAATTCCTACTGGGTGTGTCTATAAATTGCAACCCCATTAACTGCATCTTTATGAATGCATTCATTGCTGCTGCTTCTGTTGCCCCAGTCCTTCTATAGCCTTGTCTTTGTTCCTCCATAAACCCTTCTTATTTCTCTCACACTGCTATTCTTTTGCATTCATTTACCCATCTCATTATTGCTGCCTCACCCCTCCCTCTCGTCTTCTTCTTCTTCTTCTTCTTCTTCTTCTTCTAGTGTTCTCTCTGTCCTGTTTTTTCTTGGTATTTCGCCGACTCCTTATTCCGTTCTGGCCATTTCTCCGATCAATGGCCGCCGTCTCCGCTGCTGTTTCGGACTGTTCTCCATCTTTTCCTTCTTTAACCCCGCCTTGCCCCAAGGCGCCACCTGATTATCCGGATTTGTATGGCAAGCGTCGGGAGCTGCTCAAAGTTCAGGTCTTGGAAAGAGAGATTGGTTTTCTTCAGGTCAGCGATTCTTTTTTTTTTTTTTTTTTTAATTGGTTCTCATGTTTTTTGTGATCTGGTTGTTTAGTTTACTCTCTGATTTATACAGGGTGTTAATGTGTTATACTCTATCTTCTGTTTGATTAACTACTGCTTGTAGACTTGGTTCAGATCTCGGTTCTTAACTTTTCTCGTGGGTTTGGTGGTAAAACCACTGAAACCCCTGCAAAAGAAAATCAAATAAACGACTAGTAAGAAGTAAGAATAACTAATTGGATATGAATATTGACACATTCCCTTTCCTTCTTTCTTCTTTGTGAAAATAAGAGTAGCATTCATCAAACGAAGGTTTCTGTTTCATTTAAATAGAACCCTGTTCCCCATTCTGCACTCTTATAAAAGATAAAATGCATGCAACATTATCCATCACTAGCTGATTTCAGAGGAACCATTTCTCTTGGAGATGTCTCGGCATAGACTTAACCGAAGGACGCACAAGAATAAGTTGTGCGGTAATCTCCTCTGTGCTGCTTGTGATTGAAACTCAATACAGGGGAGTACCAAACCTGAAGAGTATATGCATTTATACATGGAACGAGCATCCTTCATTGCTTCTTATATGTCACAACAGGGGAATTTCGATAAACTATTATAGTGTTATTAACCCAGGAGATCTCCTATAACATAAAGGAACCTTATTTATTCAAGCTGTCCAATTTTGTTTGCACGGCCAATAAGATTGTTTTGGAAAAAAAAAATCCTCTATCAGACCTGTACTCATCTGAATTAATTAATTCTTGATCTAGAAGTTTCCCCTGTGACAATGAGTATAATTTCTTCCATTCAATTGTGCAAGTACATTGAAAACCAATCAATGACAGTTGACCTAATTGAGTTATACTTGTTAGAGAATATCAACCTATTCAAGGACCTCACCTAACAGCTTAAGCTTTTAGGTTGAATGGTTCTTTGAGAATACTTTAATATATAAATGCAAATTATCACCATGAATGTCTACAATCATAGAAATGCCCCTTTCTGCTTTCATCACATTGCTATATAATTCCCAGTCACCAGCATCTGTTTTCATTCATTTCTGGAATTTGTTTGAGACATGATTTAGATGTCATCCACGGTTTATCTCTAAGTGTAAAAATTTATACCTTCATTTGCTAATTCAATTTTTGAAAATAGAAGGCATTTACCATTCTGTCCTCTTAATTTTAAAATGAATATAGAAAGTGTTCGTGTCATGCATGAAAGGAACAACCTGAACGATAGCTGTTTATATATTTGAGACTTCATGGAAAGGGAAGCATCTTATAGACAATTTCATTGCAAGCAGGAGGAGTTAAAATCAGTTGAAGACCTTCAACCTGCTTCTAGAGGCTGCAAAGAGTATGCTTGTTGTATTTTTCCTTTTTCCTTTTGTAATTGCCTTATATTGTGCCCGTTTACCAAATTCTTCAAATGTTCTTTAGCTTAAATTAGCCTAATTAGGAATATGCAGGCTCTACTAGTAATTTATTTGCAATTCACTGAATGCCATTCATTTAGCAGGGTCCATGATTTTGTAATGCCGAACCCAGATCCTTTCATACCCAGGTAAAATTCTTCAAAATCAACTCATGTCTTTAAAATTTATTAAGTGAACCCATCTTTATGGTTTTCTTTTTCAACCAGAGGTTTGAAGACTCGTAGATCTCATGGCTTCTGGAATTGGCTGTGGTATGCTTATGGTTCTCATCTTATCTTTCATTTATATTCTAGTTAAACATTGTCAGGAAATCAAATCATTTCTCTGAACAGATAACTGATGGAAAACAAAGCTATCATGTATGAGGAAAGAATATTTTTTACAAGTATAGCTGAAGTTCCTAATAAAGATATATATAGGCTTTCTGTTGCCATTGGTAAAATAAAGATTGCTACTGCCATGGATCTTGTGTTATATTGATTACAGAATCATGAATACCATGGCACCTTTTGTTAATAAGCATATGCTTGCTTCTTGTTCCATGTGACCTCTTAATAAACACCATGTGCTAAACACTACTAAGATTATGGTGTTGTCCATTAGAACCACCATGCCAATATTGCAATCAAGGCATCAAGCCTTTTTTTTTTTTTAATGTCTGGCCTGTGGGAGCTGTATAGATTAATCTTTCTCTAAAGCATGTTCCATTGCTAGTAAAATACCCTTATTTATGGTAAATGAACAAGAGAAACATTAGGTTTAGTTACCAAGGCATTTCCTTTCTTTCCTTTTTTTTTATTCCAGACTTTCAAGGGCCTTGCAGGCGGATGCAAGTCTGAAACATACATTCATGAATCTACATCCACATCCTTAACCCATAAATGACTTTGTTGTCCACATGTCAACTGTGGAGTAAAAATACTAATCTTACTATTCTGATTCAAGGAACCGATCCTACTGAAACCCTGACATTCAGAGTTTAGTACATCTCCAAAAACTGTGGGTCATAATGCCATGCTTCCAACATCTCAGATTTCTTCTTGTTATAATTATTTTTAGGTGCTGAGCGTTGGTCCTCAACAGCTCCATTTGATTGGGCGATTCTATCAATACATGCACTGAAGCTTTATGTTGACCATTTGGCTTTCCTTCTGCTCTTTCTTGTTTATCTTTTTAACTGATCATCAAAGATGAGGGGCTCAACTGGATACTAAGTCAGCTAGTCTCTTCATTTTCTTAGGGTGTTGTATCGACTAGAAGCAAGGTTTAAAATATCGATACAGGCCGTCAAAGCTCTCTCTCCCCTTTTTTTCTTTGAAACCGGTTCAGAGGGGTTGGTTTAAGGCTGGTCGACCCCCTGAACCAGGACAGACCCCGATACAACCCCTGTAGGGGCATATTGTATCGAAATTTTGAATCTTGACTCGAAGATTGTTATTAGTGCCATCACCATTGATAAAGTGGCAGGGTATTAGAGTCCTTGTGGTGTAATTCACAAAAATGTATATTCTCAGAGCAGAAGCAGAACTTATTAACAAGAGATAGTGTGTGTTGCTTCCCCATATAATAAAAGTTCCTTTCTTATGCAGTGGAAAGTGTTGCTTCAACTGTTCATGGCTTTGTTGCTTTGGTGGTTGCTCTCTTCATCTAGAAAAAACAAGTTGCTGCAACTGCCGTGCATCAGTGAAATGGCAGTGCTGCTGCTGCCTGAAGAAAAAATCTTGTCAACATTGTTGCATTCTTCCAGCTCTTGCTTGCACAGATTGCCACCCTTGCAATGGATGTACATCTTGTTGCACTGGCTGTAAAAAGGTATGCCATTGTTCAAATTGTACAAAAGCATGTTGTAATCCTTGCCATCTATGTTGCTAGGCATGTCCATGCACTTGTTCTTAGATCATTACAATTATGCTATGGTCTATAATGTGCACCCGGGCTTAACATGTTAAAAATTTTGAGAATATTATCTTTATTGATTTATTTTCTTACTGTTTCACGTTAGAACTAAGTTATTAAATTCGTACTAACAAGAACACTGTCCCTTAAAGATGCAAATACGTATAATTCGATATAATTCCAGTAAGAAGTGGAGCTTAGGCCCAACCTTAAGCACTGAACTGAACTGTCTTGTAAAGTGTAAACTGATACCATTCTTTTATCCTATTAAACACGAGTCGATTAAAGCGGAATAGACTAGCCTATTCTTTTAATGCTGAACACAGCCTATTTTCTCTACTGGATTATGCTCAAAATAACACACAGCCTATTTTGCCTGTGGCTGAACTTGCTCTAGTTTCATTCTGATTCCCCATCAGCGTTGATCTATTATAAAGCTTGCAGGACACTCACCTGGAGTTTTTTTTATTCTCAGGATATCCTAATTTATGGTTTCTATATTATTCAACTTGGGTTAACATTTGATATCTGAACGTACTCTAAGACATCCTACGCCATTCCTCAATGACACATTATTTACTTGAATAGTTGAATCCTTTAAGTTGCCCAATATGCCCGTGATTTAGTTTAGTGGAAGAAAGTAAATTAAAGGAAGAACAAAACCCAAGAGAAGGTCCTCTTCCTTCCTCTCTCCCGATCGATCCCCCTTTATCGGCAGCATTCATGGACACTGTTCTCTACAGTAATCAAGTCAAGACCTTGAGCAGGAGTTCAAATCACCCC